TTTTTTTTATTTTTGATTTTTCATCCATATATATACTTCTGTCCCCCACTAGGAGAAGTATCTGCAATGTTTAAGGTTTAATAAAAGGCCCATACTTCTTGCTTCTTGGACTGCATGGAAATCATTAGAAAACATGTACATCTGTAACACAAATTCAAAGTTGAATGTTTGCTGGTCCGTGTAGAAGAGGAAGTTTCATCTATCTTTCTGTAGGCACCAGCTTACCATTTCATCATGTGTAGCTGTTAAAAGAGCATGCATACAGATGAGTTCTTAGATGTCTGATAGCAATTTACTTACCCAAAGATCCCATTTGCATGTGACAAAGTAGATGCGTATAGAGTCTGGGTTTCATTTTATGCTTACATTGAGCCTTTAAGTGACTGCTGCTGAGCACACCCTTGGAATAACAAGCAGCATTTACAACTTCATGCCCTAGAAGTTTATATCACTTCTGCTGGATTAACACTGTAGAAAGTTACAAGGAATATGATAATATATTCTACGGTTGGATGAGTACCAAAAGGAATGGACAGCATTGAAAAATGCATGTGGCAATGGTGCAACAGGTGTTTTGGCTAAAATCTTGGGCCACTAAATGAAGTAAAGTTTCTGTCTGTTATTAATAAAGCTGGGATTTCACCCTCAATGTTTACCCGTAAGATCGATCCAAACAATTTCATCAGATCTGTGGCTGAGCACAGCTCCATGGCCATTACCCACTGTCCTCACTTTCAACTCTATAGAACAGTTGAAATGATATGGCAAAGTTTGTACCTCACAGTCTGTTTTGACCCCAGTCTTGCAGTACTGGTGGTTTTGGGCTGACTGAAACGTTTGTGGAATGAATGCATCATACCTTGAGCATGGGCTGTATTTGGCCCCATTGTGATTAACTGATCCAAAGCTTCCACATGCTCTCACGGTTGTCTACAGTACAATAACAAAGAATTTTTTTATATCAAATCTGGCTGAATTTCGCCATGCAAGGTCTGCTTTAGATTTTTGTTTCAATATTTTCAATTAATGAATACAACAAAACTTCACTGAAATGGAGGCTGTTGAGTTGAAGAGCTCCATCCTAGTTGTATACTACCTGTAGGCAGCAGAAAGCAACTACACACCACATAACTGGAGAGGATTACTTGTCCATTCACAGAGAATGAGAAGAGCAAACTTAATACACCAAAATGTTTCAAAGTATTGCTGTTGCATGATAGTGCACGTCACACCCAGTTGTGCTCACTAAATTAAAGGACAGCCGTAACATAATACAGCTCTGCAACATACTTGGAGGCAATTCAGGATGAACTTATTCTGATATGTTTCTAAAAAAAGAATCCTGAAATGGTTAATAGGATAGGACTGGTTTCAGGTACAAAAGTATATGTAGATAATTGTTTTCAATCTCCATGGGAAAGAAAAAAAAGTTTCAGATGAAATGATCAACATCTCTGCCTTTGGTTATTAACACATATTTTTCTTCCTAAGTGTGGGAGGAAACAGGTAGTGAGTAACTATATTCCAGTTTATTGCTAATGCACAGGAGCCTGGCAAAAAATAAATCTTCGAAATGGCATAATCTATATCTAAAGCCAAAGTGCAAGCAACAATCAATCACATTTTCATTCTGAAGATGCTTGGATAGAAGACTTAATTGTTTGCTGATGAAGGGAAATGAGGACATTCTCATTTTAAAGAAAAGCTTAGTTTGCCACCAGCTTTGTTTGTTCTGAATTTAGATTTTTGCCCTTTTTTTCTGACACTGCATATTAGATCCAGCCAGTATCTGAACTTATTGCATAGCCAAATCTGTAATTATCATACTACATAATAATATAAGCAGTAATATCAAGTCCTTTATGACTTGATTTGTGATTAGGAACAGATCAGGAGTTTTCTGGTGAAATTGTTTTTTCTTGGAAAAGGCAGGTGTGCAGCCACCAAATATTTTCACGGGTGAAACACCTGTTTCAGTGAATGATGAAGAAAAGAAAAAGCAGTGATGGACTTCCTGCATGCTTGCTGGGAGTCTGGGCACTCCTGGAAGCGTTGCTCGAAGGAAGGCTTACATGGAAAACAGCCCGAGAGCAAGGGGGTTCCACATGACGTGGCCAAGAGTCGGGCAAGATATGAGCCCCAGCTGCCAGAGTTTGACTCATCTGTAAGATCTGGCTGTCTGCAGGCTCCCGTCTTTTCCTCTCAGTCCATTGGGACAGCAGGTCAAAAAACCTGAATTAAGATCAGAGATGTTCTTTAGAATGTAGGCATCAGTCCCACCCATTACAAGCAGGAGTAGGTGAGACCATTTAACGGAGAAGAACAACATGCAGAGACGTTACCTACTGTGTGCTTAAATACTTGCCTGGAGATGGGAGATTTCAACAATTTTATGAGTTCTCACCTTTTTCATTACAACTGAAATTCTACATTTTTTGACTATCCGTAACAATTAGAGAAAGTAGTAAATAATGCCATTGCTCTTTGATCACATCACAGAAAAGATAGCTTCTGATGGCTGTGCAGCTATCTGCCTGCTATAGTTCTTAAAATGTTTCACAGAGTTGGCAATGTAACCCAAATAATTTTAGTTAACTAAAAGCAGGCTAATACATAAATATCATGGAAGTAAAATAAAGGCATATGTCATCATCCCCTGCGTATCCCAGGCATTTCACATTTTGCAGATTGTCTGCTCATGTCAGTATGTCAGCCCATCAAATAATAAAATTACCACATAAGGTAATTCTGCTGTAAGCTGAACTTTTTACTTTTCATTAAACAAAATTTAAAAAACTTGACAGATGGGGAGTATAATAGCTCAGGGAAACCACTGTGCTAATGCATCTAGCAGCTTCCCAAACCAGACTACATATCTTGCCGGATTGGAGTTTGAATAAATTAATGATTGCCTGAACCCATCTGTGTAGACATACCCTTGATCCTGGCCATTCTTTGCCCCTCAAATGCTGTTAAAACTAGGGGACTAGGGTGGAAATAAATGTTCCCTGCAATACCAGGTAACGCAGTTGTAGTCAGTGGAAATTCTGGAGCCTCCATGGTATGAAAAATGTGTATTTCAAATAAATGCATCAGTGCGATAATTACATATGCAAGAAAACAGTGGGATAGCAAGAATAATTTTCCCTCTAAATAAGAATGTGCAAACCATCTTAACAGACAATACCCTGAGCCTTTAAAACAGTTCGAACACTGCATTATTTCTTATTATTTATCCCTTTGAGAAATGATACATTCTCACCTTTACTCAAAGACTTCCAACAGAGCAACACTGCTCTCGAGCATGTGCAATGGTTATGACCATTACTAAGGTGACAGCAGAAAATGGCATTACCCCATCAGCATTTTGTCGGCTGTCACAATTTCCCCGTATATCTCTTGACCTTTCTGTGTGTTAACTTGCTTGCTGGGTTAACACTGTCCTACTGTAGAAGCAAAAACCTGCTATGTAATCTCCCTTTACCTCATACTTGATCCATTCAGTGTTATGTCAAGGCATTGTCAAAGGCATTAGGCGCTTGTCTGTTGTTAAGGATCATGGTTTCACAAATACTCCAAAGAAAAATAATGGGAAGAGTGAACCTCTTTTTCTTTTGTTTTCTTTCTTTTGTTGTTGCTTTTGTTTGTTTGTTTGTTTTTTTCCTGGGGATATAACAATCCGATAGGTAATACTCAAATAGTGTATTTTGTACGGGAGGGAATGAGCACAGGGTCATTTCATGGGTTTGGAAAGTTTGAAAGTAGTTACAGTTTTACCATTTTAATTTTGTCATCTGCAAATGTCAATGAGCATAGTATACATGGTTCCTCAGGAAGAGGAAGTGGACTATTCAAGATTAGCAATGTTTCATTAATTTCATTTATACTCTTTGCACCTATCCTGCATTTGTCAGGCTTTTCCAAAAAATGCTACCAGAGTACAAAAAGGTGTAAAATGAGGAAAGGATTGGCTCAGTAAATAACTGAAGTCATCATTGACTGAATATGACGTTACTTATGACACACAGATGAGTATTCAATCAAGTCTCTTTTACAAGCAATTGATATTCTCGATAGCCTGTGCATAGTGTTGTCGAGAGAGTTAGAAGGATGTTAACATTTCATTACTCTCACCATTGATTTTTTTCTGCTTTCTTCACAACAAAAGTCAAAACGTGACCTCTTATTCCACTGAATTAGTTCCAGAGCACTTGGCATTATTGACCTCCTAATGAAAATTAATGATGGCTCTTTTAATTCAGCCTTTCAAGTATGCACACCAAGCACATTTAAGAAACAGGCACATTTATTTCTCATATTGAAATGAAATAACACACTGTTAAGTAACGAAATGTACATTAATGCAACATTAAATTTGCAAATTTAAGCACACAGAATTCAAGAGATTTAAACTGCATTATCAGGAGCTGATGGTGCAAAGATTTAAGCTTGGCAATAATTTCAGACCTGGAAAGCTAATGAGTTTTACAAGTAAGCTACACATATGCTTAGAACATTCCAGCCCCAAGCCCTAAATTTATTGTAAAAATCTGGCAAGACTGAAACGTTTTTACTATGCAACAGAGACAATTGCACATTAGCTTAGAAATTTCCATGTTTTTCTTTTCCCTTTGAAAGCTAGAGAAGAATTAAAATTGTTTTCAGCAACTTTTTTCTTCTGTGCTCCCAAGCTGTCACCCCACAGCCGAATGGATTTCCTTCATACAGAGCCTTACACAAATGCTTATGAACAAACTGACTTCAGTGTATGGATATGGATCCCTTCTTCCTTGCATCTGTGTAAATAAAGATTGCCTCTACCAGGTAAAACAGGAAAGGTGAATGGATTCATATCTGGAGATTGGGTGAAGGCTTGCCATTTTATCTGAACAATTTCCTATTCCTGGGAAATTGTCCCAGAAATAATTCCTGGAGAATTATCTAGGACATCTGCAAGAATAATGGATAAGCTAACTTACTTTCTTCCTCTCTTTCCTTAGACAACAAAGACTATGATGCGTATCTATCTTATACCAAAGTGGATCCTGACCAGTGGAATCAAGAAACTGGAGAAGAAGAAAGATTTGCTCTTGAGATCCTACCAGATATGCTTGAGAAGCATTACGGATACAAGTTGTTCATACCAGACAGAGATTTGATTCCCACAGGAAGTAAGTCAAGTCTTCATGCTGGTGTGTTTCCTAAACAGCAAATGCAGCGGTTGCAGCGATTGTTTTAGTATAGTTTCTATACCTACTCCTTCAGAATGTCACCTTTCCTCCCTTGTCTTAGAGAATGGTGAAGATAAGCCACCAAACATACTTCAGGTGTATTTGCCAGATAAGAGGATTATTTTTTTAGTATTTGTTTTATGTCGATTGAAGGTGAGACAGTGCAGAAAGGGCACGCATAAGTAGAGGAAATGAATGAGACTAACATTTTTTCACAGATTTTTTGAGAGCTTGCCTATCTAGGAATGAATACAGAGGTCTTTGTTTTCTGTTCCTTAGAATTTACCTGGAAAGATAGCCATGTTTCTAAGTATTTATTACAGAAATTCAGACAGGAAAGAAAAAGTTGTGTTTGGACTAAGGCAAGGGTTAGTAATACCATCTACAGTAGAGCAAAGTAGTGAATTCTGCTAGTGTCCACTGCTGATAAACGTGTAGTGGAGGTACTGGATCATTCTCAGAGACTGAAAATTAGAATTGATTCCAGCTGGTACAAATAGATCTTTTTCATGTTTCTTTCACATATTACAACCTCCGTACAGTGATTTTTTGTAAGTTGCTCTAGCATTCTTCATAACTTCAGTGTAACCATACAGACCGCTGCTAAGATCAGTATCTTTTACTAAAGATAAGAAAGGATGCTTGGTATAGGCAAAGCACAACATCGAATGATCACGTGGATGTTTTTTGAATCTACAGCAAATTAAACATTAATCTGCAGGAGGCAACAATGGGTTTGTGAATGTGTGTGGTGGGGGCGTGAAAGGAAAAGTAGAATCTAATCCTACAGTAGACCTTAGAGTATCCTTTGGGTTTGAGACCGAACCCCTGAAGCACACAGTTGCTGCTCTGTTACCTGCCTGGGCGACTTTGCCTCTTTAAGGAAAAAAATGGTGATGGACACACATGTTCCAATAAAGATACAGATATTGATACAAAACCACAGCTCATAAACAAACACAATCCATAGCGCATGAGGGAATAGAAGTTTCGCAGGATCACGGAATGGCTGAGGTTGGAAGGGATCTCTGGAGGTGGTCTTGTCCAACCTCCCTGTTCAGGCAGGGCCACCTAGAGCAGGTTGCCCAGGACCATGTCCTGGCAAGCAAACCTGGCACGTCTGCAAGTGATGTTTTTACATATATCAGTGAGCTCTTCTGGGAGCGGGGATTTGCCTCTGTTGTTTCTCCCCAGTCTATGGGAGCAGAGTGTTTTCTTAGATTGATTTTTGAGCAATTGTCTTATTTTGTAGCCTACATTGAAGACGTGGCAAGATGTGTAGACCAAAGCAAGCGACTGATCATCGTCATGACTCCAAATTACGTGGTAAGAAGAGGCTGGAGTATCTTTGAACTGGAAACGCGGCTTCGAAACATGTTAGTCACGGGCGAAATCAAAGTGATACTGATTGAATGCAGTGAACTACGAGGAGTTATGAACTACCAGGAGGTCGAGGCCCTGAAACATACCATCAAGCTCCTCACTGTCATTAAATGGCATGGACCAAAATGCAACAAGTTGAATTCCAAGTTCTGGAAACGTTTACAGTACGAAATGCCTTTTAAGAGGATTGAACCCATCACACACGAGCAGGTTTTAGATGTCAGTGAGCAGGGGCCCTTTGGGGAACTGCAGACAGTCTCCGCAATTTCCATGGCTGCTGCCACCTCCACTGCTCTTGCCACTGCCCATCCGGACCTGCGCTCCACCTTTCATAACACATATCATTCACAGATGCGCCAGAAACACTATTATCGAAGCTATGAATACGATGTACCTCCTACCGGCACCCTGCCGCTTACCTCAATAGGTAACCAGCATACCTACTGCAACATCCCTATGACACTTATAAACGGTCAGCGGCCACAGACAAAAACTAACCGGGAGCAGAATCCCGAAGAGGCTCACACAAACAGTGCGATACTGCCCCTCTTGCCACGGGAGACCAGTATATCGAGTGTCATTTGGTGACCGAAATGCAAGGGGCCGTCAACCCCCTTGAGTAGGAGCTGAGTCTGCAGTCCAGTGCCTGGAACTACATCCTCGACTGCTGCTGTTAAACATGCATTACAATCGATAACATACGAGGAAAAACAGGGTCTTGTACATATGGTTTTTGCAATTTCTTTGTAGCATCAGTCTTCCTGTTTTACCCATGTCTCTTCCCATTCACATTTTCGACTTTGTTTTATATGTCATTGGAATTTGTATATTTACATTTTTTTAAATGAAGAGACTGCTGTATAGATAGGAAACTTTTTTGCTTCATTAGTATAGTTTTAGACTTTTGGTTTGTTTGGTTTTAACCTTTCTTGGGAATGCTTGGACAAAGCTATGTTGATATCAGAAGCACCATCCATTTTGTTGGCCTGCCTAGCCTGATTCCTGAAGGCCATGCCTGCTGCAGTTCACCTCTTTTGGAGAATATCTGTTCTTAGAAGGACCCCATCCCTCACTGAGAGCTCCAGTTTCGTTTCTACTCCCGTAATGTACACTGCTCCTTCCCCGCCCTTACAATGACCCCCGTTCGGGGTAACACTACAGTCTGATCATCTAACATGTAACTTGGTAGATACCTGTCAAACAACAGAATATACCCAATCTGTATCGGTTGCTTCACAGTAGTCACTACAGAGTGTGTAGAAACTAGAGACGGTTTGGTTTTTGCTTTCTTGGGTTTGGTTTTTTTTTTTTTATTATTATTATTTTAAGAATGAGTTGATTGTATCCCTTTTATAAATATAAAAGCAAACCCTATTTTTAACACTTCCTGGAAAAATATTAATGTGGTTGTGGATTTTATTTTTAAGCATTTAACTTTTTCTTTTCCCCCTTTCAAAATCCTGCAAATAAGATCGTTTGCAATCATCAGGCAAGTAAGACAAGTGAGGCAATAGGCACTGAAGTGCAGAGAGTCCTGCTGATATTTACAGTGATGAGTTCCAAACCAAAGGGGAATAAAAGGACAGTATTGTAGATGGTTTGTCACTTTGTATTACAGAAAGTGTTATTTTCTAAAAGAGTAAGAGCAAAACATTATTTTGCTGTGGATTACAGAGTCCCCTTGTATTTTAATGTTCCAAAACCTGTATTTGCTTTAAAATGATATATTCAGGATTAAGAAATCTGCTTTCATTTGGTTTTAGCTTGTAACAATAAGTAAAACTTTATTAATTTCAACATGATTTCAGTAAGAACTCAGGCAGAAAAAAAATGACATGAATACCAACAAATATCATTGTTTTCAGAATAAACTTTATTTATACAAAATTAATATTTAAATCAGACCTGGAAGTATTAAAAACAATTTATTCACTTTAATGAATAAATAAATTAGTTTTATTTTTTATGTATGATTCTATCTTTGAGGAGTTGCAAATAATGCGTGTACCATGGCTGCCAGGGAAGAAAAAACCCCCAACACTATGTTTACATCTGGGCATCTTTAAGACAAATGAAATAAGCATCTTACTCATACTTATGTTTTAAATAATGGAGAAGTCCTTTCCGGTTTTAGAAAGAGAGGGGAGCGGTGCTGTAGCTCTACAACATATTCAGGCCAAGCTCTCTGCTAGTGTCTTCTAGCAGAAGCAGAGGAGCTGGGGCAGAGTTACTGGTTGCAGCACACGGTCATATAGTCATGGGTTTGATTTACCCTGGCAGAAAGGTATCCTGGCAAACAGACCTTATAGTCTATTTATGTAATTAATTAGCTTTAGGTATTTTTATGGTAGCTGAATGATAATGGATGTGTGGGGTTCGGTCATCCTGATTGTCACAATGAGAAAGGTACAGCTTATAATATTTTGGTCTTCTTAATGAGAAGTGATGGGTAGAGAGCGGTTAAACGGCAGTTTGGGGGATGTTTGTGGGAGTAATCCAGAACTGACAGCGTGGGAGGAAATGACTATGCTCCTGTTGTGAAAGTCAAGAAATCTCAGTATCTGCATAACAAGCTAATAGAGCTTTGGGATGTGCGCTGATTTTTATTTGCTTAAAAATGTTTATTTCTCTGACAATTTGCTCAAGTCCTTTTCTACAATCTGCTCTTTATTACGGTGTCTCCCTCTGGACATGTGCCAAAACATCCACAAAATGGAAATGAAGCTGCCAGGCCAGATAAAATTTTAAGAGAGCTTTGCACATTTAGTTATTTTCCTAGCGTAAGAAAGCTATTATTTATTTGCTCTTACAGACACCTGTCAGACACTGATGGCATTTTCCTTCATTCGCCTGGATGCCAAATACCCTGGTATCCTCTGAAAGCAATGCGTTATTTTTCCCCTTTCCCTCCCCATTACATGCCCTGGGGTAAAGACTGGGATGTGGAAAAAATGTAGGCTATAACTATCTGACCGCAGTCACATTTAGACGATCGGTACGTGTTTCCCTAGCCACATGGGGAGTACTTTTCTGTTGTTCTATTTTTAGTGTAGATTTAAGCACTTTGAATAGCATGATTCAGGGATTGATGGATACTCTTTGATAGTCACACTACTTAAAAAAAAGTTTTTCTTATTATGTTTTGTCATAATATTAAACAAAAGAAAAACAAACAAACAAAAGAAACCGCAAAACGAAACCTGAAATAAATGGAGAAGCTGTCTATGGCTTTAGAAACATTCCTCCTTAGTATTCCATCTCTACGAACAGCTCTGTGTGGGGAACAGTGAAGGAAACTGTTGCGTGTTCACGTGCTCTATGTTTGACAAAAGTTCTGTTGGAACACAAAATAAAATGAAAAAAAAAAAAAAAAAAAAAAGCAAAACCTCAACCAAACCTGTCATTGCCCTAGTGCTTAGGCTCATCCTTTTCTGGTGAAGGTGTTCCAGTTTTTGACAATGCAGCCTGAAGCATGCATGCAATAGTCACATATAAGGTTTAGCCATAAGCAAATAGCACTTTATTTTAAAAACTGCACAGTGTGATGATCGGAACAACTTACTCTGCCTGGTCAATAATTTCGGGTCTGTATGTGGATTCTATGCACATGAATTATCCAAGTGTGGTGCTTTGTCTTTATAAGGCTCTCTCTAATCAGGGTAGTCCTTGATATAAAACTAAAAGACTCTGTTGCACAACCTGTGGAAATTCCGTATATAGGTTCTCCGGACAGCACATATAGCTGGACAGAAATGGGGGACTGTACAGTATGCAGCTAATTATTTTGAAGGCAAAGTGCATTGCTGGGTCTGATTCTGTTCTCAGTTGCAGCAGTATGATTTGAGAGTAAAGCTAATAAAGTTGAATGAGTATAAGATTGATTTGTGTGAGAGAAGAAAATTGGAAAAGCAAAGGAATTCATATTTGCAGTCTGTGACAAGCTGAAATCTTGGCCGCAAGGAAAGCAGCAGCAAAATGTCTTCTGCATTTTATTAGGGACCCAGTTCTCACCTGGCAGCCAACATCAAACACTTTCAATATGATCTGCTTCAGCGCTAAATACTGTTAGGCTTAGATGCAAACTAAGATTTTTCTATTACTGCACAGCTGTGAGAACCATGTGTATGTTACATAATGGGTGATAATCAGCTCCAAAATAATTGGAAAGCTTGTTATACCCGCCTGATTAAAATTCACAAAGTTTTACTTGGATATTGTGCATTAATGACACATTTAAATTATAGATAAAGCAGTGAGATTTGGGGAAAACTGGCCTGGTAAACAGGCTTCCTTCATTCTTAAATTGAAAACAAAAAAAGAAGAAAATGTCAAGCTAGCAAGCCTAAGGAGAGTTTAATTAAAATCAAAGAAGAAAAAAAAAAATCACCGCAGCAAAGTAAGCTCAAAAATAGGATAAAGGCCAATGGAGAAAAAAAAGGTCAAAATACACACCTATGTTTTGACTGTATCGCGGCTTTTTTTGTCACGCAAAGCTCCGTACCCTGGCTCACCTACATCAAGCAACTGGCTTTTTTGGGGCCTATCCAGACAGATCGGCAACACAAATATGTCCCTGTATGTCTGATACGCTTCCGAATGATTTTGTACTTGTTGATAGTCTAGCACAGAGAGTTTTTGGTGTGTCTTCTATTGTCGTGAAACAGAGGATGGCAGAAATCTGCCAGTGCTAAAAAAATCTCGGTAACAGGCTTAGTTTATTGGCCAGAGTAACTAGATTCCTTCACACCCACCCCTTATCTGATTTGCTGTTATTAGAACACTTTTTTTAACCCATTTCTCAGCTGAGTGAGAGATTAATGACTGGCATCAGAAAAAATGTAAGCAACTTCATGAGTCTCATATAATGAATGCTGCAAGTTCCTCTGCATTTTTTCTGTATTATCACAACTCTTCATGTCCTAAATAGCCCACTGAGTGGAGGTTGGAGAACACTATCGTGTCTTTCATTTGAGATTCACTGAATTTAGGATGGATGCTGAGCTGTCATTTGTGATGTAATTTTGCTGGGCTATTTCCCATCGACTCTGGCTATACCTTCCAAGAAGACGTGTTGGCAGCATCGCACTTCTCCAGCTGGCCTTGGGTTGATGTTCCAGGACTCAGAGATGTTGCCCTGGGGAGAGAAACTAATAGAAGCACTTCAGCTATTAAGAGTTTTCCTATGCTTTTTGTTTGTTTAAATTCTGTTTAAGACAAAGTTGGAGCTTTGCTCTGGACTAATAAGCTCTGCGGGTGCAAGGTCAAGAGTCCAGAGAGTCATGAAGTAGTCAGAGCAGAAATTACAAAGGCACACCTGGTACCTTACTTGGAAAATGTATAAATTCTGAAGCTGCTCAGATTACTAAAAAATGAATACATTTAGACTGAGGGTTGTTGAAGGAAATTATTCTGTTTGTTATTACAACCAGCCTCATTACAAAAGCCTATCAGCATTCTTACATTAAATAGCCAATACCCTAGATATAATGTAATTTCAGAAACATTCAGTAGTCAGTTAAAATGTTTTTATTTTGGTGGATTAAGAGTAACATGATTCTTTAGGATCTATATGTTAAATAAAGTGGATA